ATTGAGATCAACCCGGAATATGACATTCTTAGTCAGCAGCAACCTCCGGTGTTAATTAAAATACCATTAATTTTATGGTCCACGAAAGCGTATACGAAATAAAACACCCATGGGAATATTTGAATAGAATTGATTATAATTGGAAGCAGTGCATTGTTTTATGGGTAATAAATAAAAGCAAAGAAACAAATCAATTTCATTATTGAACAAGGAGTCATGAGTCAAGCAGCTGGTAGCAGCATACGTCCATGAATGTAATTTCATTTATTTTATTGACTTTTTGTGGTACCTTCATACATCAACTAACTTCAAGAAGAAGCCTCATCATCTATTCGGAAAGTAGTATGATAAACACATAGGTAGTTATAGATTTGAAAATTTTAACTAAGCGGAAGAAAAAGTTTTAGGGAAATTTTAAATCAAACCGGAGCCTGAGCACTCTATTTTTGCATTCAAAGCAAGTTTAAAAATAATAATACATATCAGAATATGTGACTACGGATACTATGAACACTTTTACTGGCTGATCTGCTTTTCGCATATAACCTGTTCGAGGGCACACAATGATGAATTTCACCATTTTAAGCTTAGGGAATGATGGCTGAATTGAAAAAAATATATATTAATAAAATCACAGTATTATAGTATATATACTCGATTTTTTTGCATTATGTTAGGAAGAGGATTTGAGAAATTTGAAAATTTCCCCACAAAATACATTACTCTAAACAGGAACGCCTATAAGATACTATGGTGCCAGAAAATCTACTATAGTTTCATTAATTCACAATTCACGTGAGATATTAGAAAAACATTTCTGTCAATGTCAATTAAAAGTTTACATGTTGAAATCAAAATTTCGGTTTTCAAGCTTTTTTTGTCGCGATGCTCCTTAGGCAAGCTTTTGAATGATAAATATGAGGCAAGGGAATCTTACTTTACTAATTTACGAAAAGAATAAAGGCTCAACATTGGCCGAAAATGATTAACAGATAAGTAACTTCTAGTAACACAATAATGCATTCAGTTCTGGAGCAAATAGAAGCATTAATAACATACCCCGAGAAACAGGATGCAGAAACATTGAAACATATAATTTAGTAGGGTACCTATTAAATTTAAAAAGTCATCTAATATCGATAATTGAACCGGAGTCAAGGAAATCGCTTTCGCGCTACTGGCATTTTGTTTATTCAATTTCGGATCGCATTGAATTCTAATATTTGAGTACAGCAAATAATTTTTTTTATATTTCTCAAAGTCTTACAATTCCCGCTTTTGTCAGACTTCGCCATATCGCTTTGTAACTTTAAACGGTCACCCTGCCATTTTTCCTTTTTCTGGGATCTTTGAATTAATCTGCATATGAAAATGTGAAATTTAAAGCTAGGTGATGATGAAAATAATTCTGATGTTTCAAATCATTGAACGACTTGAAAAGGCATCAACAAACCCCGTACGACTTACTTGTCGTTTTTTATGCTGTTCACTATACTGATTCTTGCTTAGTTCGTGATAGAAGATGTACACTAAAAAACAAAAAAATAAAAATCACACTAGCCGCCTCTCAGGTTCCCAAAAAATTGTGGCGCTTTTGCCAGTGTGTACAGAATTCAAACCTGAAAATCTAGAAAATACAGCCTTGTTCAAGAAAGGGGACTATCGCGTTTATTCTGGATTCTACAAGAATAGATTACGGATATATAAAGGCCGGTATTAGTTAGTACTTTTTAAGTTTAAGATTTACTCTGATACGATTTAGATAGTCAATTTTGTAAGAGTTGTAAAGAGTAAAGTTATTTGAGATAATTAGTGAAGTGATTAGTGTCAGAGTGTATACTAACGTGGAATAAATTATTGTTGTGTTAATTGGACTTTGATTTTTGGAATAAATGGACCCAAGATTTCTGTCACGCACCCCAGAGCCGTGAGAATATTGTCACGTATGCGGATTCGCAGATAAGTGACACTAGATACTTTTGTGAGCTTTATTCAAAACAACAACACAAACATTACGACAAAAATGACAATGTTTATTTCACGCGTTGTACCCGGATACCAAGTGGATTAGGATTATTAATCCATATTCATTTATTTCACAACTATTTGATGGATTAAGATTAGTGTTAGTCCTTTCCTAGGCCTTGTTAAAAGCGCAAGCGCAAATTGCTTTGTGTCGTTTGTGTCTAACTTCATTAAAGGCAACAATGACGAAAAATAGTTTCAATTAACAATTAAAAGGTAAACATTTTTTTATCTCACACCGGTTTTTCATCAAAAAATTATCAAATAAAACTAAATAACATCAATCCTCAAAAAAATTACCTACAAATGACAAATGTGATTTTTTCTTGAAGTTAGCAACAAACTTCTTAAATCCGAGATCAAAGTATTCATTTCATATTTGAGATAATCCATTTTAAGTCCAATCCTACAAATTTGAAGGATTGGATTAAGTACTCCGATCCGGATAAACTCTCTAATCCTGGGGTCCTATTTTCGAATATTTTCGCATATACGAAATTTGATACGATTTCGAATGCTTCCCATTTAATTTACATTGCTGTCAGTCAAATTTCGTGTACGAAATGTACTCAAATGGTTTCGAAAATCGCACCCCTGGGTGTTTTTTTCAGGATTATTAATCCCCATTATTAATCCAATCCACTTAGTATCCGAATACAACGCATGAAATAAACTTAGTCAAAATTACAACATTTCGGGTCGCTCAAATTGATCCTAACCGTACACCCAAAACACCGACTTCTTCCGTAATTTTCTGGATCTTTCTTTCCGTTAATCGGTAGATTATTCCATCATCCACCATTAAATTATATTTGGTCCTGTTCCCTAGGCTGTTTGTTTTCTTGTTGTTCCAAAATGTTCGGCAGTCGGTTCTGATTTATTGTTGTTCTTCGAGCAGTCTGTTTGCTTGTCCTTGCTTGCAAAACATTTTTCCTGCAAGTAGGTACTGTTTCTCTCTTTGTGGTCTGTCTTTTGAATAAACGAGAACCTCTGTTTTCTCGTATTCACCATCGCACTTCCTATCATCCGTGCGATTCACAAATGACTGGCCCACTACTTTTATAGCACTTGCTCGTTGCACGATGCTCTTGTCATTCCCTAGATTTTTTTATCAACGTTGAAATTTATTCTCGAAAATTCTGGTGGACATCGGCATGTTCAACGATCAAGTGCCAAAGACGGGTTTGCGTCCTAGAGAGTTGGTACTTCGTATTAGAAAGCGTAGTCCGAATGACTCGTAACAATATCCAAAGTGGCAAATGTTCTACACTGTCTGATTCGGAAAACTTAGTTGGTAGTTGGTTTCTTGCCACGAGTCATTTTCCCTGTCTTTTGCTGAAGAAACGAATATTGCATTGTTGATGAGATCCAGGCTTCTGGCGAATTTTTCTCATAAAAAATGTGATGTGCTGCTGAGAGAGGAAATTCAGGAAGTTGAGAAATTTTTCGCTGTGTGGCTACCCTATATTATTAATATTTATTTACGTATCCTTAAGTGCTCGCTTCTCGTAAACGAAAAATTCTTCTTCTTAGTCTTGAGAAAATAGATGTAGAATAAACGCATTCGTATTTTCCTACAGTCGTGTGGGGCAAAATAAACAAACTCAAGCGGATTTTGGTAGGTACCTTAATTCTTCATTCAAAAAAAATGTATCCAAATGTTCTAATTTCGTAAAAAAGCTTCAAATTTTAAATTTTTATATGCTATGAATGTTTCGAGTTCCCGTTTAAGATAACAAAATTCTGGCAGAACCGCCATTTGCCGAATCAATAGGTATCTAGGTACCTCAAAATTCGATTGGAAAAGAAATGCCAACACGAAAAGCGATTTTGATGATACTCCCGGTATAATTATTATTGAAAAAAAAAAAGAATAAAGATTATACCTTAGTTTAAAAAGACACAAGAAATTAAGTTTCACTGAATATAATATAAATGTACGCAAAATACATAAATAAAAATAACATGAACCCAAAAGAGGTGATATTAAAAATTTCAGCACGTCAGTAATAGGTCAGGTTTTTAATTATTCCACATTGTAAGTAGCAGGTGTTAATTTTTTATATTTGAGTAATATAAAACGGGCTGCTTTATTATCGCACCATGTTAAGTATGAATGAATTGATTTTAATATTTGTCAATATTCAAAAATATTATTATTTTTTTTTTAAACTTGAAAAGTTGCATCGTGTGCTAATTTTCTTTAGACTATGATCTCAAAAGCGGCCCTGTGAATCAACCAATTAGTAAAATATTTGCTAGTCATGCTTATTATAGTTTTTATGATGTAAAAGAGTTTATATTTTTAAAAAAATATCACTTCATGTTATTCAAGCATTTCACGTCGCTGTGACCTTACATTCTTCTTGCACTTACTTAAAATTTTCACCATCATTAGGTATACATTTATTATGTCTTGCGACATATTTAACAATTATTATAAACCTATAACGGGGATATGATAAATTGATTTTCTATATTTTATATTCAGGTTGAGAACTTTAACTAGATCAGAAAAAAAAATCATATTGGATATTTGTGAAAACATACATTTAGTGATAGATGGTAAAATTTCAACTTGATGAAGAGGAAAGAAAAAAAAAGTTTAATAATTTAATTATTTAGATAGGTAAGGGCCGGTTTTTCAATAGCAAGTCACTCGCGGGTTAAGCATAACTCCAGGGTTAACATTGCAACTGGACACGTTTACCCTGGAGTTAAACCAACCAAGAGGTGACATGTTATTGAGAAACCGACCCTTAAGGTTATTAAAAATATTCAAAAAATTTAAAAAAAAACGAAAAACTATGTTGAAATAGGTAACCTCTCTTGGGTACATTTTGTATGTCATAGGCAAGGGCAAAATCCAATCAAAGGTATGCGACAGAGAAGCCAACCTAATGTCTACGTTAATACCAAGAACTTCCCAATAACAGTTACATAAATATTGCTTTTTTTTAACGGCGTATACATACCAAGTCTATATACTCTCAGTTCTGGTACTTCTTCAAAGGAATCGTCTTTCGTTCGTAGAAAGGTAGATAACACGCTGGTATATTCTTGTAGGCTTATATTAATCTGAAACGAAAAAGGTAATGCAATGCAAAAATCATCTACATAAAACAGTTTATAAAATTTAATGATCCGGTATCTATCTATCTGAAATCTGAAATTTTTAATAAAACTGATATGTACATTCAAACTCAATATTCAATCAAATAATTCAACTTTTTCTTCCCGACTCTGTTACATATTTCATTCATATTTCTTTTTCTGAAAATACACTTAGATCAACAAAAGACCAAGGTAAAATTATGGAAAATATATTCAGTTTACACGGTTTACACTTTTTACATATTTTGTATGACTTTAAAAGTCAATGGCATTTCAGCAATATCAATTTTCATTCAGAAAGCGATAATTATTAATTGTAAGTACTTTAAATTAGTCAATTTAGATATCATCAATCATATCTTAGGTGAGTCCTTTTGTGTTGCAGTTTGCAGTAGGTATTTGCTTTGTCTATGTACTTACCCAAGCAAAAATTCACTTATTTTGATATGCCCCTTCTGAGTTTTTAATACGCCAGATCTGCCCAATAATAGGAAGGAGTCTGTTATACTGTTTAACTTACAGATCCAACTGACTGGACTGGGTGCCATAATCGGAAGGAAGTAAAAAGAGGGATTTATAGTTCTCCACAGGAAAAATGATCCGATTTCAAATGGGTTCCTTCTCTGTGGGAATTCTCACATCTACTTACGCTCTACTCTCCCTCTAACTGTTGCTAGTTCGTATAGGTGGATGAGACTACTTTTCCAAATTTAATCTACAGTTCGAGGCAATCACATGGAAAATCACGACCGAACTAGCACTACTGCCGATGACCATTAACTATTAAATTCTTCTATGGCGTCATCCTTTGATATTTCTTGTAGCATAGAGTTGAAAGGGCGCTCCTTTGCAAAAGAAGCTCTTCGCGGTGGTTAACGAAACGATGCTCTACCAGATTGGTTCGACTAGCAATCTTTTCTTGCACACACAAAATCAGCTTCACAAAGTCAATGGCTTTCTTTTTTTCTTGTTGACCTAAATATGCTCTTTTTGAAATTCTCCCTGCTCGAGAGATAAATGCCTTTACGATAGTTACACATCGGTACCTGCTAACCTGGTATTCGTGTTTCTTAGTTGATGATGATTTTACCTTCAAAGTTCTTATTTGAAGGTGAGGAGAAGGTAATTTTTTCTTTGCTCACTCTCAGCATTCTATTTCTGAAGACGACAGATAGGAAATCGAAGGTTTCTGGGAGATCCTCACCTTATGTAAACTCATCTTAAATCATATTTCTTTCCGTTGAAGATGCCTTGGGCAACGAGACTTTCTGCGAATCCTTTTTGGCAGCTTCTTCAGTGGATAAGCAACAGTTTCGACAATGGTGTTTCGCCTACTCATTTTCAGTGCTTGCTGCAAGTCCACTTCATCGAAGAAGTACTGGACGTTTATTTGTTTGATGAATACTTCTGGATCTTGGGATATGACAACCTAACCATTCTCTCGATTTCACTACTAATTTCCTGCAGCGTCCCTGATGGAGCTTGGACAATGGTCCTCAGCTTTCTCTGATACTAAGATAACTGTTTCCATACCTCAGCTTTAAGGCAAGGCGCCTACAACGAGTCCTTTTATTTTTCCTCGGGTATATTCTGGATCAATTCGAGTTCCTTCCCCTGTAATACCAGCACCAATTCTATTGTTTTCTACTATTCCTCCCGTGCATTCTCTCGCAGCGACTCAGTCATGTAGTATGGCCCAGGCATTCGGTCAACAGAGAAGCTCTGTGGAAGATACTGGCAAAGGTTGGGTGTACGCAAAAGTACATCCAGGTTTTCCGCCTGCTGCATTATAATGTTAATTCAACCGTCCTAAGCAACGATGGACAAGGAGACTAAGGAGAGTAATTTCAACACAGGGCTGTATTACTGCACCCATTTTATTTTCTCTATTTATAGGATCGATACCTCACCTTGTCGAGGGTCACCTTCCGTCAGGAGTGCATATCCTATACAGACTTGATGGCAGCCTATTCAACCTAACCAGATTATGAGCCAAGTCGAAAGTATCGACTCGACGACATCGATAAAAAATTGAACTTTGATATGCGGATTATAACGTCGTCATGGCCAAAACAGAGGAAGATCTTCAGGCAATTTTTAGAGCATTCAACCAGGCATACGCAGGATAATCGACCTAGAGATCAACTTAAACAAGACGCAAATTCTGATCCAACCCGCACCGGGCACGAATCCTTTAGCCCCTTATATCACTATAAATCCCCATTCTTTGCAGACCGTAGAACAATACCCATACCTTGGGAGCCATCTGTCAGCGAATTCAACCATTGACGTCGAAATTCTCTAGGGAGAGTTTCCAACAATCACGACGTCGGCGCTGAGACCAAACTTCGCGTCTCCAATGCAGTCGTAATAGCAACACTTCCATGTGGCTGCGAAACATGGACCACCTACAGAAGACACATGAGAAGCCTAGAAAAATACCATCAGCGATGCCTAAGAAGGATCCTACGGATTTAATGGCGAGACGAAGAACGAACATTGTGTGTGTTTCACCAACTTCGCTCGACAGGTCACCGCATGCCCGAAACACGTCTTCACGACAGATTCTCTAGAGTCAACTGAAAGAGGGAAAACGAAATCAAGGAGGTCAACAAGACCGCTACAATTATTTTCCTAAGGAAAATTTGGCAAAGTGCCACATCGATACCAGCAACTAGGAGACGACGGCAAATGATAAGCCCTTATGGCACCGAGTGTTTCACGACGGACCACAAGAACAGCGACGCAGACACGAAACCGAAAAGAGGAGCGAGAGAACAGAGGAAGAAACAATGCAGCCAGAGGCTGGGTGTGCCAAGACTGTGTGGCTCCAGAACTGGTTTATATAGCCATCAAAAAACGCACAATCCATGATGATGGTCCAGGATGTTTCGTTATCGAATGTCGGTGGTTTGTGTTGGCCGCGGTCAAAGGGGCTCACAGACGTATCTATTTTGCTGTTAGTTTTGTTGCCGGCCTCATCACGAACTCTCTCTTTATTCTCCTCTGGATTTCTATATTCTACCGATCGTTCCCATTCCACCTACAACTTCTTCTTTGATCGTTCCTATTTCGTCATTTATCGTTCCCACTTCGCATTTGACCTCTTCTCTGATTGTCCCTACTTTGCTTTGGACTTCTGGTCGATTATTATATAGTACAATCCGGCGATCCTTTCGATACCCTGCTGTCTTTCAGTCGCCTGTTTTCTTGTTCTTGCAGAATGTCATGGAGTCGGTCTTGTTCTTCTTTTTCGTTGCGCCTATATTTTTCTTCCAGTTTATGTGTCGTTTTTCTAATTGCACTTGCAAAATTTTCTAGAGCCGGTCATGTTATTTATTTCTATTCTTCCCCATACGTTCCAATGAAGCGAATATATGGTATATTTGATCTTCCATTCAGACTGCCTGCTGTTTCGTTTCCAGCACAGACAAAACACTTATTCCACTTCTGGCACCAATTGTTACGTATGCGGATAAGTAGATAAGTGAGCCTATTCTTCCTAAATTAATTAACCTTTATTCAAGACACGAACACAAAAATCACGACGAAACTAGCACTAGTCACAAAACTGAATCACAATAATTCACTGTCTTACTATCGACCCGCGTGCCACTAATTGTCGCAGTATTAACTTATTCGCCTTCCACTAACTGATTCTTAACACACTGTCGTTTAATTTAGCACTGACTCCTTCGGCGACAGACTCCGTTTCATAGCGCATCGTTGCCTCTAGAATTGTCTAGATAATTCGCTGGAATTGGATGGTGTATTATTGATTCTTCTGCCTAAAATTACTGGTGTAGGTAATCATTATTTTCAAGGCGCTATTAATAATTTAAAATGTTGAAATTATTTTTTCAAATAATCTTTTCTTTTTGGGTAGATGAAAGCGATATCAAATTTGAAGCCGAGCAGCCACCTTGATAAATTGAAGGTGTAATTTTTACATCAAACAGCTTCCAACAATCGAATCCATTGTATTTCTTTCTGGATTTTGGAAATTAAAAGGTGTAGTACCTACTAGGAATCGACAATAAATTAGTTCTAACGCTATTTTTTTTTAAATATGCCGACGCCAGTTCGCTTGAAAAAGTAATTGAATATGAATTTCTTTTGGCAGGTTTACATTGATAACATCTTATGTAATCTTTAAAATAATAAATAAATAATTATTAAACTAATAGGCACTTAACAAATGTAATTTACTCGCTGCGCCTAGAAATAAAATTTAATTCAAAATTGTGTTTGTATATGAGAATTGTTTTATTGCTCAACCTGGTGTCCCCGATTCTATTTTTGTCTCAAATATTCATGGTGTCAAGTCGGATGTTTAATATAGGAAATACCTAGGGGCCATAATTAGGGTTTAGTTGATTAAAAAAAAAAAAAAAATTGAGAATTCAAGCTAAACTGATATTTAGATGTACCTACTCTATTTTATCATTTAGTGAGATTTAGAAATTTTGAAATAGAGAATATCGCTCCTGAACAGTTTATATTTACGGATTTAAATTTTTAAATAAGAAACTGGAAGTCTTATACAGTTCCTAATGAGCTTTCAATACCCATTTAGATACCTACTAACTTTGAAATTTTATGAAGTAGGTATCTAAAATTAATTTATTTGGATCTAAAAAAATTATGTTCAAGTACCAAGATACCGACCAACAAAAAAATATTTTTATATACTCTGAATCAGGGTAGTTCTGCTTGAGCAAATTCAAAGAAGGGTATCCATACTCTTCGCATGTTTATTTGAAATGACACACCCTGTAAATTTTTGAACTCCTAGTGAATAAGTCACTGTCTTTAAGACTTATTTCGGTATAAAGTAAACGTCCATCTGCCGTATTCTTTTACATCTAAAAATATATCTAAGGCCAGTTGGTGCACTGTATTAATTCTGGTTGTGGATATTATAGAATGCTTAGCAATATAGCGAATCAGTTTACACGTTTAGT